GGGGTTAATCTTTCAGTGTTTTTCTGGGAGAGGTTGAGGTGCTCACTCAGGGCTTTTTGATGTTGGGGCTGGCAAGGAAAAGCACAAGACTTGGCTGCTATTAACAGCCTTCCACAGCTTTGCCAGAGAAGGTCAGCCACAAGGTCACCCTCACCTTTTCTCTGATGCTTAACATGTTGATAATGCCTGAAGAAATTCCCATATCCCTCACCCCACAGAAAATCTTTGTAACCCAGGTGCTCCCAGGAAGGCACCTTTCCCAAGGTACAAAGATGCACAACTTTGATGAAAGAAAAAAAACCAAGCCAGCTGAAGCTGGGCACGCACAGCTACTTTAAATACAGAGTATGTGTGTAGTTTTCCTGTATCCTGGTATGGTTCATACCCCTGCCTCTGGCTGGTCCTAGAGCCTTGACCCACCAAAAGATTTTAATTTCACTACAGGCACCTACGCCGAATATTTAGGCACCACTGGCATCACCAAAGACTTCCTTCAGGCCTTGCTTAACAAAAGTAGTCCCATACTTGCCTGCATTTCTGCCACCAGCCATGAGCAGAGCTCTCAGTCTGAGCGGTGATGAGGTTCTTGGTACAGGCTGTCCTCTTGCCTGTTTAGCAAACAGGACCAATCTAGCAGCTTCCCTGGATATATCATTTCAGGCCTGGGGGGAACAGAGAGGGTAATACTGGTGGTATTATCCAAGTGGTAGTATTATCCACATTGACAGGGGTTAGAACAGCTAGCTGGCATGCAAGAAAATCCAGGTTCAGATCTCTAGGGAAGATAGCATAAGCATAACCCAAATTTTCCATTGCAGTGCTGCATGTAATGAATATTTAAAGCAGAACCACTGCAGTGGCAGACAGAAAGTTAGACTTTGGGTGTCTAACTTCTGAAAACCAAAGTCCCGTCTCCCTCCAGCATCCAGTGAATCCAGGGATGCTTTCCCTTTCAGCATGCTAGCTTTGGCTGGGAAGCATCTGAGCTTCCCCTTAGAGAAAAGATAAGAGCCATGTTTGGCATGGATCTGCCAAAAGTGACCCTGGGGTAGAAAGATGAGGGGAAGACTATCATGAAAGTCAGCATAGAGATCATATCAGTCGCAAAGATGCTGACTCTGGCAAGAAATCTTTTTACAACTCATCATTTCTACCACCCCAGGCAAGAAAATGCATCTTCTCTGCATCTGCACACTGAAAAGCTTTCTGCTTTGGCTGCAGCAGATATGCAGTGGAGCAAGTCAGGGGACACAGGAGGAACCTTCTCTGTGGGTTGACTAGGATGGATCACAGTAGCTCCAATCCCAGAACATCTCCTAACCCCATCCCACAACCTGCAGTGCTAGGTCTCATGCAACAGAGCTAGAATTTCTGTCTCGCTTCTGGGGTTTACACCATCCCTGGCAAGAGCATCGCAGCTGCAGATAACAAACAAGAAAGGCGATCAGCTTTAATGTTTTCCGCTTGGTTCTCACCCTTCACTCACACTACAACGCCCCAGCTGTGAACTTTTAACCCTGAACTTGTTCCAGATTGTGAGCCTCTACAGCAGACAAGTCATAGGCAGTAAATCCACTTTTCAGACAATGGTGTCTATTGAGCTATTCCCCATGGTGCTTCGCTGCAATCCACTTTCTGTCCACCTGCCGCTTTTCTGCCTACTCACATGTGTGTATCCGTAGTAGTAGCACGCTACTCACCTGTGGGAAGGAGAGAAAGGAGAAGCAGCTTAAAAAGAGGAGAGACCATGCGATGCCGTGAGAAGACCCAAGGATGCCTCCATATGCCTCATCAGCCTATTTTGGAGAAGTACTAGATTTGTCAGCATTTCCTGAAAGCTGAAAGAAATCTAGCCCCCTGAGAGCTGAAGCAAAGGTAAGTAACAGACAAGTAAAATGTTTGGGTTTGGGCAAAGGCTCCAGACTGTTTTCTACCATTTCTGCCTCCTTCTTACTCACTGGAGCAAGGGACCCTGCGGCCACGAGCCAGGGCAGAGCTCCTTTGTGCAACACGTGTGCACATGGACAGTGGGATCTTTTAACTTGACGCCTTTAGCTCCTCCAGGGAATGGCAGCCAGGGCAGGTCCCACTCGCTGCTGGAGCCTGGGCTCTCAGAGGGTGATGTTAGGCCAGGATGGCAGCTCCTGGGTGCTGACACCGGCTGCCCCGGTGGACTAGCTCCCTTTAACACAGCGCAGAAGGCAGCTGCAGGGCACTCCCAGCATCCTTTAGAAATAAATCCCAGCATCACCTGTGCAGGGCTAAACTCTGCTGTTGCAAACTTAACACACGGTGAAATCAGCTCACTTTAAAATTAAACTTGCTGATGTAACAGATAGCATGATGCTGACCTGGGTAGATATACAATATGAAAAATCCCAAGCAACACTTCTTGGTTTAACAGTAAACCTCTCTGTCTTTTACATGAACACCCCAAATTGGCACCAGAGGGTCCTACAGCTAAACACAAAGATGTCTTGTGAGCGATTAATGTAAAATGAAGGCATGGCCAGTCACCCTCCCTCACAACATCCCTTCCGCTTCTATACACACCCCAAGTGCACGCATTTGTCTGCTGCTAGTTTAGTCATCACAGATTAAAAAAAGGCAGCAAGACGAAGACTGGCTGAGCCAGTAGTAGAGCTTTGTTAATTTGTGCCAGGCAGCAGCAGTGGCAACAGCTCCATGCTCAGCCTTGCTGACTGCTCTTAGAATAAACCAAAGCCATCGTTCCAGCAAGGAGGTTACCACAGATCCCTGCCATAAAAGGAGTAGATTGCTCCCAAAATCTAACTGATGCGGATGACAAATGTAAGAATGACTAAATAAGAAACAGCTCATTTGGCTGATTTCCTATGCTGGCCCCTACTGCTACTGAAAAATATCCCCCTTAACAAGCCAGAGGAAAATAAAAACCAGCTGAATATCTTTTCTTAGATGGCTAGTTTTCGCATTCCCATTCAAGATGGTCTATTTTGCTGTTGGCTCCGCTCTTGGCATGAAAACTGACCCTGAGTAACCAAACTGGGGATGAGGGACAAGTGTGGGTTTTGGGCTGCTAAACCTTCAGCTGGAAAACCACACTCACAAACACAGAATTTGCACCTCACTAAATAGCAGGCTGTTATTCAAGCAGAGAAAATAAAAAAAAAGTTACTTTCATAAGCTCATGCCCAACTAATGGCGAACTGGTGTACACTAGCAGACAGAGTCTAGTCTTAGTGTAATTAAAATGGAATCAGATATAGTTTTTCAGAGCCAAGATCTAGCTAACAAGCCTGCTTTAGAAACCAATCAAATTTGTAATAAAGCAGCAGCCTCCAATGTGTAGGAGGATACAACGCCTCTCAATTTTTTTTTTCCATAGGAAAAAGATGTTGGAGAAAGAGACAGAAGGAGAAGAACAACATTTTGAACTTTTGAGTAAGTTCTTGCCTCTCCCCCACAAATCATTCCCCTTTGGGGACATCCGATGTGATCAGAAACAGTGGATGTTCTTAAAACTAAGGGAATCTTAGATTTACAGTCTAGAGATATATCAAGTATTTCCCAACTCCTTTGAAGAAGGGAAACAAAGGTAACTCACTTCCACCTTCTCCATCTTTTGTTTCATACATACGTGTCCAAACAGAGGCAGAGCTTGCTACGCATGAGTTGAAAGTTTAAGGTTTATTAGAAAAATACTTGATCTTTGATAGCATTGCATATTTTACAGATCCGGTTAAAATGATTTTTATCACTTTCATTCAAATTCATGATTTGTTAATAACTTCTTCTTGCAATCTTTGTAGTTAACATACTTGTACACACAGAATGAGCACCTGTAATGGAAGGGTACCTTGCTGAGAGGCAGAGAGCCTGTTCAGGAAATATTACCTATTTGTATTGGAAAGTCACAGAAGTGATGCCATGGTTTTACAGCTTCAGCAGATGTCCAGAGTTCCCTCTTTCTTCACTGGGAATTTGCAGGGGACAGAAATCCAGAAGTCATCAACTAAATGGGCCCCAAACCAAGCCTCAAAATCATGAATAGTTTCGCTGGCATCTGCCTCTAAGTGATGCACTGTTATTCCTTCCACTGCCACACATACAGATTCAAGAACTCTAATCAGATCATTTGTTTTCAATGGCTGAAGGGCCAGTTCAGTTTATGGAGAAATCCCTGAGATTACACATAGCATCGAGCTCCTTTTAAATAAAGAGGAAAACGGACACAGTAGGATAAGTTTTAAATTTCTTGGACTACAAAGCTCTCACAATGTTTGTATCTTGCACATTAATGGACAAAATAATGCTGTAAAAGTCAGCATCTATTGTGCTATGTTTTGAAGGGGTTTAAAACAGAAGAGTTCAAATTAAAAGCATCTGTAGGTAGATAAAGTCTATTTTCTTGGGGGAATGGGGAAGGCACTGGAGTAAAAAGCCCTCATTAACCTTACCCGGTCCCTTTCAGAAATATAAAATTGCATCAACACTTTGGAGAATCTAATCAGAGAAGGAGCTGGGGGGAAAGAGGGAACTGGTAGGAGTGTGTAGGTATGTCTTCTAATAAGGGACTGTGGAATTGATAACAGATGGTACTGCTATGAACCACACAAAGCTGGCAGCACTTGTCTCTCTCGGTTGATGGTTGATCACAGTCCAGTAGTTCTTGACTGCATACTTTGATATTTTTCTCCAGTTTGCACTTTAACATCCATCCTTAGGAATAGTGGCAAGCATGTCTACTCAGAAAGGTACCTAAAATCACTATCCATGGGGCTGAATGCTCCAGGGGAGGTTGAAGATGCCTTCCTGTTCACTGAAGGACACTTCTACATCAATACCAACTTTAAGAAAGTGCAATTGTACCCATCAGAGTTAGCCATGCAGCACTCCAACCTTCCATGGAAGAAATAAAAACACATAACCACTAATCATTCTGGCATCGGATTGTGGTAAGATCCTGCATGTTCCTTAACCGAAGGCTCCTGCACCCTGAAGAATGAATCCAGTCATGATTACTCTACTTCTTCCTCATCCAGTGAAGCCAAAGCCTTCTCCTGTAACACAGAAAGAAAACTTATAAAAGCAATTCAGACCCTCAGCTGAATTTCAACTTTGCTGAGGTCAGTCAGTAGGTTTGCAGTCGGGTTTCCTGACCTCACATTCTATCTATTCCAACGGACACAGGCTGTACAGCTGCTGAATGTTTCCATTCATTTCATGAAGCACAAAAGGACTAGGATCTCTGATGCAAGTGCCTCCCGGCACATCCAGGTAAATGAGCTACCAAGGGCAGCAGCTCAGCACCACAGCTGGCAAAAGAGCACCTTGCGCAGCTCACTTTGAAAGAGGGATATGAAGGTAAACAGATGCCTTTGTATACAAGAAAAGTGGAAGCATACCACACCATAAGGACGGGCTGTATGAACTGCTGAACTACTATGCTGTCCCCAGAACCTGCCAACAGCACACTTCTAGGGAGAAGTATAGGATTAGGGCAAGCGTGAAGTTTCCTGGTGTTTCTCCCAGCCTTCAGCTGTTTGTGGTGGAGAGACTGTCTGTGCCAGGAATGTTGTTTTATACTTAACAGCACTCCATGGATGTCTCCTATTGAGTCTTGGACCTATGTAAATAAAAAACTTGCAGCATAAAAGATGTCTTGTAGCAAGTAATTCCACAGCTGGAGTACACGCTGTGTTAAAGAATACGCAGTTTGGTTTGGTTTGCATCTGGCCCATGTTCTGTGAAAGTGGGCTGCTTCAAGGTGTCTTAGGTTATGGACAAGCCAAGGAAGGCAAAACGCATACCCAGCCACCATGGTCCTGAATCCATGGCTTGAAGTGTTCTCTGAGGTACTTTAATCCGAAGCCCAAGACCAAGTTCATAGGATGGTTGTCCACAGCAGTAAGTCTGGTGGCAACTTCCATTGTAAAGGCAACCTTCGTGCATTGTACTTGGCCTCCTGGCTCACTTTTTGAATCTGCCGAGACATCCTCCAGGAACATATCAGTGATCCTCTTAAAGAAGCTGTAGGACAGCATGTCTTTAAAGCGCTGATACAAAACCCTGTCCTTTTGGATCTGAAAATAAGCATAAGGATTGGTTAAATTGAGCCACTTTTGTTGGAATTGCTTTCCCCGTCTCACTGGGAAAGGAGAACATCTCTAGGTAATACATGCAGTACAGTCTAAGTGTGGTGCTGAATGCAAGAGATGACACACAAACCCCACACCTTGCTGCAAAGCTGCTCATTCAGGCTCTGGAGATGGCCCTGTGGTTTTTTTTCTCAGAAAAAAAACTTCAGGTTTTTTGCATTTGAATGAGAGAAGCAGAGAGAGAGAAAGCAAAACAAGTGTGACACTGATATTGAGATCTGCAGGTGAGGAGCCATGGAAATACAGGAGCACTGGAAGATGACAGTAAAGGCAAGGTTATGAGAAGTGCTGGCACAGCTGCCATGCTAAACTCTTTTTGCTCAGTCACGGTCTTTGTGATGCTTTTTCCTGTATCTGGGTACCTCTCTGCTGCAGGAGCTGAGCATGTCCTTCATGTGGGAGTATATCTTTATAGGTAGGGGCCAGCTAAAGAAGGGAGCAAAGGAAACAAGTACCTATATTTTTAAGAGAAAGCACCCACTTCAACTAGTGGACTTGTGCGGGGGTTCTTCTATAGCTTTTCAGCAGGGCTGTCAAAATGCACTCAGAAGATTTATTTCCC